ATGTAATTAAACACGAACGTTGGTTATTCAACCATGTCGCCAGGCGTTCTTGAGCTGTGCAGTTGTAAAGTTAGAGGCCACAATGTATCATCACTTGTCTTGATCAAAGTCAGTGAACTTTAAGTACGGCATGAGAGCTGGCTTGAGGGCTAACTCAGACAGAAACAAGGATAAAAGAAAAAAAAGAGACCAAGAGTGAGAAAAAAAAATGTGGACAAATAGACAACAAGGTAAAGACAAAAGGATTATTCTCCATAAGAGTTTTTTTGATTCTTGCCATCTTTGTGGTTGGCGTAAGAATGGATCTGTGCAGTACAGTCTGCCATTCTCTCCTCTGATTACCACTCTAATTGGTCTGTTTGGGAGACACTCATCCCATAATAGCCTGCCTGTGGTCTAAGAGAGACAGTCTCCCAGTGCTGTTACCATGGCAGCACAGAGCACATGTAAGATATTGGACAGGTTTCAGGGAGTAAGTTAAGCTGTTGTGTGTAAGCTGAACTATGCCATGTTTGTTCTTTCATTGGAAAACCACATCATTTGAACAACGAACCTTTGTCGAATCATGAATCACAATTTATTCATTGTTGATATGCATAAGATCATGTTCTTCCGCCACAAAAAGTTTATACTGCAAAAGATATCTGAAATTTAAAAGAACTTAAGGCTAGGGTTGGGTTTGGGCATTTAAAAGTTTAGTTATTACGTTTCTGATGTAGCATAGTAGCAGATACCCATTTAGCCGAGGATATGAACTGAAAACTCCAATAACATGATTCAGCTTTTCAGAATGTCTAGTGAAATAAAACCTCTGTGAAAAATGAATCAACTTAAGTCTAGTGGAATATAAGCGTTCTCAACAAACAAACTGATAAAGTAAACAGCGGATTAATCGATAATAAAAACAATCATTAATTGCAGCCATAGATACAACTTTTACAACCTATACTGGCAAACAAATGCTGCATTATGCACCTGTTACATACTGTACATCACCCCTTCAATTGTATTTTATTTAAACAAAAACCAAGTCATCATTGTCCACCATCTTTGAAAACTCCACTCACATTTGAAAGCCTGAAACAAGATGAAGTCTAAATTGTTGGAATGGCACACATCTCAACGTGACTGTGTAGGCCCTTTACTAATATTTAATAATGTATTGTACTGTATTATTATTTCAAATGTATTCACTTCACTCAGTACACACTATACTGTATACAAAAACGAAATACCCAAGATTATTGCAGGTATATAAATCATAATAAATAGTAGATTTTGAATAGTAATTAGTAAAAACCTTAATATGACATTTCCCCATTCACCCATATCAATACTGATGATCAAAGTTCATCTCTTCATAAAACTAAACAAAATATTCTTGGAGCCCTTCCTTTATTCATGGATCCTTATTCCATATTCAGGGTTCTATACTACTGCCCCCATTATTCTTGGCCTAGCTAACAAACTCTGTGCTCAGAGTAGTAATCCAGCCATAATTACAGAGTGCCACGGCTAGTTGTCAGGGAAACCAAAGAGAAACTCTCTAGGAATGTTTTTTCCTCTTGCAGTGCATGTCTCTTTCCGTTATAGCAGAGCTGTCTCCTTCATCCTTCTTTCGTCGGATTCTCTTAAAACTGCTTTTTTTTTTTTCTTTCTCCGTGATTCAGTTTCTCTTAATCTTGTTGTCTGTGGCAAAATGATCATCCTGTATGACCCCAGGAAACATGGAGAGAAAATAGCACAGCCTAGGGACGACTAATCGCAATATTCCTGGAGTTTTGTGATTTCCAAAGTTGACCAAGTGGAGGTTTGCTGCAGCATTTCCCCTAATGTGTGCATGTGTCAGTACTGAGAAATGATTTCTGCATTCTTTTCACAAGCAGTACATCCTAATATCCTTCCTTGATATTTATTCTACCACACAATGAGGTTATGTTTGAGGACACATTATGTTCTGTAGCCAATTCTGTAGTTGACTGATTACACTGGATGTGTCAATAAAGAGCAGAATAAATAACTGATGCAATGTAGAAGCAGTAGAAGTTTAAGCTCTGAAATACTTATTTCAGAGTTCTTTCGATCCATTGTTTACATTTTGGCAACATCCAGTTAATACAAATAATGCCCAAAAGCCTTTTACACAAACTGTTTATTGACAAAGCCCTACGGATAATATCCGTTTGTAGCTCATGTGTTTCCTTACAAGCTACAAAAGCATATACACACACACACACACACACACACACATCTACAACCCCCATTGTAGAAAGGTCATGTATTGACTTTATCTGTTTGTAAAATAGAGGGAAAGCAATCAGAGGGTAGATCAACCATGCATATGATCATAACCAACACTGAGTCACTGTATGTATTTATCTTTGTGTGACTGTGTGTGTGTGTGTCAGGGACATGATAACCTTGCAGGGCTTATGAATGTCACTTCACAACGCATCAGTTCTTAACATTTCCAGCAGTCTGCTATGTGTCACCGACACTGGGCTTCAAATATTACACAGTTAGAACTTCTATATGTCCCCCATAAACAAAACAGCAAGCGAAGCATTAACTTGTGTTATATCACCTTGATTTGACTTGCACCACTGCTCTCAAAGCATTTCTTTGGGAAATGTTACCATGCAGTTACTAGATACAGTGTTTGCATAATCCGTGGGTGGTATATCTGATTAATTTTACTTGACTGATTACCAAAGATGTGGAGGCATCCTAGTATACTCAGTTATAATTATTCAGAATTTTCAAAATGTCAAAATAGAAAACAGAGATGTGTCATTCTTTTAACCAAAATATGATGCAGAGGTCTAAGATATGACATGAGAAAAGGGCAAACTACAGATAAAACCAGACCAATCAGTCTAACTGTTTACTTAATAAGTAAAGCTGAAAATATTAGTCAATCAATCAATAAGACATTTAAACTTCTTAGAAGTGAATCTATAATGCTTTTCTTTGTTAAATATGATCTGGACTCTGGATAAGTTATTTTGAATACGTCTTAATGGGCATTTTTCAATATTTTCTTCAACTTTTATAGGCGCACAAGTGATCGATTCATTGAGAAAATAACTGATGAAGAAACAACAATACTTAGAGCTCTAGTAATAAGCAGTATAAAAATACAGCGCTAATGTTCATCATCATGTTGGTTATGTTTTTACTTATTGCCTATAAGTTCTCGACTGGCACGGAAAGATAGTTCAAAGTTAAAACTGTTGTGTTGAGATGCAAATAACCCATTAAGACAGCCAAGCAAGAAAAGACAGAAAACTTGCAAATGAGTGGAAACATGGTTATCGCATATACCCCAAGTATGCAAATAAGGAGGTTAAACTGGTAACATTTTTAACAGACACTGCTACACAAATCTACCCTAACACAATACGTGTGTGTGCATGTTTCACCCATGTGATCAGCTGCCCCCTGTAGCCTACATACGGTGTGATTCTGCACCCACCTGGCACCTTTAAACCCCAAAGCCATGTGTGCTGTCAAAGTGACCAACCTGGATAACACAAACACACTCCTTGCTCACAGTATAGTCCCCCCCCCCCCCCCCCCCCCACATCTTATGAGGCTCCTCTCAGTCTGTACATTCCAGCCACAGCAGCTCAATGACCCGAGCCAGGAATGAGGCTTGGAACCGGGCTCTGGCTGCAACTGTGGCTGGGTCTTGAGCTTTAAATCAGTGAAAGCTGGCTGGTCAAGTTCCGCCTGCCTGGCTCCTCCTCAGTAAGCGAAAGCCCTGAGCTGGCAGCCCCTATTTATTGTTCTCTACTATTATTCTCACTCCTTTCTGCTCCTGAAGCCGCTCCCTCCCGTGTCTCTTTTCCCTGACAGTCATTCAAGGACAGGCTAACCCCCCTCCAGCCCCCCAGTTAGCCCCTGAGGTCCTACCTTGAGTGCAGCCTCTTGCTAGCCAGATCCCGGTCCACCCCGTTAGCAGCCGACTGAGCCATAGAACCGCTGCTGATCTGCCTGCCTTCCTAGCTAGCTTCCTCCCCGCTATGAGGCCCCTTCACAGTGATTTCCTCCAGGGGCAGCTAACCCTTTCTTCTTCTTTTTGAGCCGTTCCGCTCCTCTGTCACTCCCTCCCCCTTATTCTCTCGTTCTTTGCCACTGTCTCTTTGCCTCTCCCTCCCTTCTTTCCTCATACAGCACAGCAATGGCAGCAGCTGCTGAGGAAGTGAGGTATTGTACAAATACACCATAAAAACACACGGCCCCTCCCCCGAAAACACGTCACAGGCTGGGTGTTGCTTATGCATGAGTGTCACTGTGAGGAAGAGCAAAGTGTGTGTGTGTATCACATGTGAAAACACATTTTATGCATACTCAGACAATGTATTTTTACTTTCCCTACGTTTTATTGTTGTTTTTTGTTATTATTTTATTATGTTCTTGTCTCCAAAATGTGATTTTCTCTCTCTTTAAAGAGTTATACAAAGAGCTGAAAAACAGTGTTTTACTGTCTCCTTTGGTTAAACTTTTTGAGCCTGTTTCACCTCTAGCTACACCACAGATGGGTGTGGTCATAGGTGTGCTTTGTTTCACCTGTACACACACCCAGCAGGTGGCAGACTCCAGCTGCAAGCAGTGGGGCACTACTGCATGAGTTGTGATGCTTTTTTGTTTTGTGTCGCTATTGCATACATTTTTTTTAGATTTGAATTAAACAAAAAATTCAAGATTTAAAATGTAACTATAAAATGCTACACGTTTTCTTGCATGTAGCCTATGTCACACTGCATAGTCTTTTATTCACTGGACCCCATCCCCCTTTCAGCAGTGTCGCAGGGCCCTGGTGTACACATGAGCATCACTGCTGCAATGTGCAAAGTTATAGCTACTTATAGCCAGTCACACAATACTACCATTAAAATATTAAAATACTCCCAGCCTACTTTTGCTTTTACTTACTACTGTGTTGAAGTTTAATAATTTTACATAGCAATCTGGCATCAGGGCCTAAAGTAATAAGAGCAGTCAAAAATTAAAAATAATAAATCTTAAAAGTATTTAAATCAGCCCATGAAATAATAACACCAGGGATATGACTCATGATTGTGTTGTTCTTATTAGAGAAACTTGATTTCAAATCTTAAGCATTTCTCTGGCAATTAATATTTCTGACTAAATAAGTAACAATGAATGTTAAAGTTCAGAAAAAGGTGAATATTTATGAAGAATTTACAGTAATACTCCAAAAGTCAGCTAAACTGCCCTATCACGGTGGTGTGGGTGAGGCTTGATCATATCTGATTGACGATGGTGAAATAAGAAAACCCTTTCAGATCTTTTGAAACAACCAAAAGTATTCTAACTTTGGCAGGAAATTGTGTTACATCAGACACCTCTGCTCATAATGAAAGTCTTATATAGAAAATAGGTTTTAGGGCCTTCATACAAAATGTCAGTGGGTTACTGGTGATCCTCCTGAGATCCCACCTGGTTATGTAACAAGCAAAAGAATACTCCTTCTTCATTTTTGACAGGATCTAGTTTTTTGTATACAGTATATTGTCAGTACAGAGCTATACATCTAATGTCATTAGCCAACAGTCCCAAAAATTTTCAACTTGCCTGACAATCCTGAACTTGCTCCTTTTCATTCTCACCACCTTACTAGATCTATGACAGGCATTTCTCTGGAACTGTTGGGTGCGTCATTAGCTGCAGAGTCTTGGAACAACCTTTCCTTTAACAATAAAAATACTCTTAGTTTAAGCCTATCCTAGTATAGATTGTCATTCAGTTTGTTTAGAAGCTGTTATACCCAATTATGTGAAGATGCAGTCCATCTTGTTGCTCCTTCACGCCACTACCTGGTTTGAAAATTGCATGCTTCCACTGTCACAGTGACAGCTAAGGTCAGCAAGCACTCACACAACATCTAAATATATTTGAAAAATATTCTTTAGGTCAGTGATCCCCAACCTTTTTTGACCCCTTAAAATTAAACATCGCTACTTTCAGGTTATGGTAAGTAGACAGTTGCATGTGTCTCTTGGTTATGAACAAGTCAACCAAAAAGTACCAGAAGTAATTAATCTGAGAAAATTTTAGAGGTCTGAAGGTGAGAGAAGTATTATACAGCATTTACAAGAAAAAATAAATAAATTAGAGGAACGTCTGAATGGATAAATTTAAAATTTAATTGTTATGTAGCAATTTTGATGTATTCTGTTAGGAACCATTTCTCTAGGTTCATCTTGAAACTCTAATGAAATCAAGATTTGGTTATGAGGGATGTTAACAAAGTAAAAAATATCATATATACAATATATAATGGAAAAAACTACAACATCAGACTGTATTCAGGTCCATCGGTCTGTCTCATTATTCCTGTGATGCTTTTCTGTTATGTTAGACTGTATATGCCACTTAGAGCAGTGTGGGTAAGTTGCTCAGGAGGCAGACATACAGCTGGAACAATGAATGCTCACGCTAATTATGCTTTGTAAAATGGCCAGAAGTAACACAAGTTATATGTGTAGTGTATCAGTGGCTTAGGACAATAAAATCATTGGCATGGTCCTGCACATTTGCATATGTTTTTTAGAGATGCACCAAATGCATACAAGGCTTTTGTTAATATTTTAATTTTCTTAATAAATTTCATTACCTAGTTACTTGAATATTAATTGGAAGATTATCCATTCATGCATTTCTTCTTGAAACTGTTTATCTCATTCCCATAAAATATTATCTGTTACTGTTAGTTAGTAGTCATATATCACTCTGAGTTTCAACCAATTACGAGTACTGTAGTACTTGAGGTTCACCATAAGAGAGCAGCATTGTACTAAGCTTAAAGAATCAATATATGTTTCTTGTGCTGGAGCATCTCAGAGACACCAGAATACAGGAAATGCAATACACCGGGTGGACACAACTTTCTTATAATGTTTGTATAATGGTATAATGTTTTCTTGTAATGTTTTCTTGGCTAATTGTTTTTCCAACTGCTTTTAATAAGATATAATATCAGCATTAAATTAAGCTTGTTTGTCTGCTACACAAGTCACAAAAGATTCCAAGACCCAAATAATTGTATGCTATTTGTGTAGTCATGGCTCTATAACTTTGGAACAACATGAAGAAATAATATTTTTTCAGTTCTTAAATAATACTTTTATTGATATGTGGCTCTTATTATTATTTTAGACTGATTCTCATTGGGTTTTGTGTAGTTTGATTGATACCAGCGGTAATTGTTCCCTTTTATTTTGGTGAGTGGACATATTTCAGTATTATTTTGTCACCCTGTTTCACTTCACACTTCTTCTTCTCACTACATGAGCTAGTGCTGGCACACATAAACATGTCTGCATTTAGTAACTAATTCTATATGTAGTTAATGAATTAATTGTGTATATGTATGTAAACAAGTTTGTATGTTATGTACATGTTCTGTAAAATGATATTGTGTTCTTTGCTTAGATTTATTATCAAGGGATTTTCTTCCCTAAGTCTCCAAGCTGTTGTGCTGCCATGCTGACAATCCTCTTGTTTTGGTTGCTGTGTATCAGATCTTGTGGCCTTTCAGTACTCCTTAATGCTCAGCTTCAATGGCATTAATGTGCTGACAGCAACATAACAATGTATAATGAAATTCAGATATGTGAAAATGCTATTAATGCACATAGAGCCACACATCCATACACTTCCAATCCTCCATCATACACCAGAATAGCATTCCCCACTTAACAGAGGATAAGACAGAATAAATATGTCTAATAGGCTTAAAGGATAATCATCTAGAAAATGCAGGTCTTCTGTGATTTTTATAATATGATGCAAGAAATATAGAAAACAGCTGGCATAGAGCCAAAAGTCTCCGTACACTGTATATCAGATTGTTCTAAATGAATTTACTGTTTTATTTTCAGTTTACTAATCATTTCACTTACATACCTATATGATTACATTTAGAAAATATTGATAATATGGTACACTTTTTATAGTATAATTTTGTTCTGTATATCAACTATAAAGTGATGTCAACTTAACTTGACTTAATGTAATGTCAGATTTCTTTATTATATTAAATTTTCCTAGAGGACAAAGGACCAGCCACTAATCTTCAGAGTACTATATGTTTATACTGTATTTGTTTTTCTCTGCCATTATATTATTGCAATGGAAACCACTTATTTTGATGAAACTCCACTTGTACATTTGAAATAATAAGCTCCTCAAAGCAGCCACCTCATACTCTCATTTCTCATGTTTTCTCTCTTTTCCCGTGTCTCTTGCTTTACGTTTTGTTGTGGTTTTTTTGGGGGTTTTTTTTGCTTTAATCCTCCAGTCGTATATCTGTTGGATCTTATGCATGGCATCACTGGCAACAGCTCATTACAGACAACAAGGAGCAACAAACGCAAAATGAGATTGAAGTAAGCTGATTTCAGATTTAAACTGAGCAACTCAAACTTGTTTCTCTTTTATGAGGCAGCCCATTTTACAATAACAAAACAATCTGCCTGTATCTAGGTAGTCTCGGATATGTTGTATTATGTTTCACAGGGTTATAGTGATTGTTAACATAAGGACCCATAGGTGGTCTTCAGCATCTGGGGATTAGTTAGCACAGCACCCACACGACCAGGAGGACAAACTATGGTGTTTTTGATGCTGCTGTTGTTGACCTTGTCCTGAATACCCTTTGAATGCCACCCTGCACCAGCATCACTCAAGACTGGAGCTTCAGTACTCTATAAAGCTTTTGTATGTGCCAGCTTTTATTTTCCCTGGCAATGAAAAAGATATTCAAGATTTTTACAAGAAACAGGTGCACCAATTTTGGGGGAAATATACCTTGCCTATTTACAATGTTTATATTATTAAGTTTGTATGAAGGCAAAAATAATTGTACCACGTCTTTGTGGCAAGTGAAAACAGACAGAGATAAAAGATAAAATTTGATTGTAAACAGAGAGTAAGACATTTAATGCTGCATGCTGTTAAAACAACACCTACATCATTTGTCCCCTCCAGACCGGTATGTAAGTTCCCAATACAGCACAAAATGACAGAAAATTATTAATTGTGTTTTACTTACTGTAGGTGTAAAGTGCAAAATGTGCAGAATGCTAAGTTATCCAACTGATTTAATCATTGGGATTTCTAGTTTTCTAAATATATGTGCATATACTAACTTTATATTAATTTTTAACTTTTTGGTTATTATTATTTAATTG